TATGGGTTATGCTTAGTTCTAAAAGTTCCTTTTGTGGGTTTTTTAGATACTGTTTATGGTGCTTTGTCCAATTAAAATGTGTTTAAAAATTAATCATAGCTTTTGAATCATTCAGATGGGTAGTTTCAAGGTGTTGCAAATAGGACATTGAAATACTAGAAAAAAGATCCCATAAGTAATGCATTGCTTTAGTACAGCATTTCATTAAACTATTAGGCAAGCACAAGGACAAAAAAATGTTTGACTCAGTAGACTTAAGATTGGAGTTTAATTGGGAGTGACTGGGATTTAAGTGAACAAAAGGTTTGAACTGTGAATTAAGGGAAATAGATGCTAGTGGGTCTAACACGTTCTACTAATTAGAATACTGCCTGTAGATATATTGTAGGAGTTATATATAGTCAAAATACTGGAATTCTCTTTTCATATTCAAGTGTTGCAAGGATGCAAAGTAAGAACTATAGACACACGCTCATCCTCCTGGTTGTTTTTTATGTAGTCAAGATATTTTAAATGTTATATGCTGTGTGCAAGCCATCATCTTCCAGCTTGCAGGTTTAACAAGTAGTAAGTATACACAATTTCTGGCTGATAAGTTCTTCATATTTTCCAAGAATTAATTACTGTTCCTGTGCCATACAACTAACTAAGACTCTCCGTTGCCAAATAATAAAATCATTTATATTGTAATGAAACTTGAACTTGCTGGTTGTTTTGTTTCAGTCGTGATCCTTAAAGTCACAAATGTGTTCATAGAAGAGTATGTGCACACATTTGTTCTCCTGCCTTGCTAACAGTTGTTTGTTCATCTTTTAAAACATAGATCCAATTAGGTGAGGTTTTTTTTACATTGCTATCACTTGTGTGTATGCACTGAAGTATTTTGTTCACACCAGAAAATAGATACTTAAAATATTTAATCTTTGAGTTCTAGTTTTTCAGTTTTCATGATGGAGTAAAGACTGATACAAAGCTTTAGTTTTCTATCACCATCTTTATGCTGGCTTTAAGCGCAAGGCAGATCTGTGCCACATTCTTCCCCAAGGAATATTTCTGTCTGTGGTGTCATGCAGATGTAGCCAGAAACCCTTACAGAAGGCTTAAATAGCTTGCAGGAAGAAAAAGTATAGAGTAGTCACCTCAGTCTGAGAAATGTGGAAGGTTGGTATGAAAATGCTAACACAAACAGCGATGTTGCAGTACTGGGTTGGTTTTGCAGTTTAGAGCTGTTAGAAGAGCAGGTTGGTAGGTTACGTCCTACCAGCATAGGATTGCTCAGGGTTTTGAACAGTTCTAGTGGAGAATATGGGATGCCTGTTTCATAAAGGCACTGGTTGAAATCTGTTGGTGGAAAACTTAGATGTATGTAAGATTTGTGAATGAATTTCTTGTTCGGATGTACCACATACTTGCCCCCTCCTGCAAGTCCTTGTTTCATCAAAGGTTCTCTGCCTCCTCTACCTACTCTGTTAGACTAAGAAAAGCCATTCTCTGCAAAGCAGTAACAGCAGTCAGACCTAGTGGTGGTTAGAAAATTTTTGAATAGTGTTTGTTGTTTTGCATGTAGCAGAGGTCATTATGGTGGATCCATCTCGTACATGAAAGCAAATGCTGACATGCTAAGTACATTCCACATACTTCTGTATCCACCCACTCAATACAGATGCTTCCCTCTTCCCACGCCAGCTTCCAAAAGAGTTCATCTGGCAGGAGGGAGCAGATGATCTTACGCTGCCACCTAATGGTAAACATCGGCTTACTACCATGAGATAGGAAAAGACTTTCTGGAGGCTTTGATCTTTATTTATTTTTAAGTGGCTTGTATGGAAATGCAGTCAATGTCATCCTTGAATGTGGTGGACTTGTGGAGACTTTTGTCGCAGAGATGCATGCGGAAAAATTGTGAAACCTGATGGAGAGAGATGCAGGATATAGTCCAAGTTTTATGACATTAAAAACTTACTGCTTTATTACATAATACTTACTGCTTGTAAGGTTGATGCATCAGTTGCAGCTACCAGCCTGTAATGTCTTAGTAGATTTAATATATCAAATCGTGCCATTTTTAATTGTGGTTGTCATTTTGCTCTCATACTTCTGATAAACCTGGCGCTACTGGGGAGTAATTACCACAGTGCATCCTTGTCTCTTGGTTGTTGGAGAGACCTTTGTTAACACCTTCTGATTTGTCATGTTTAGTCTACTTTAGTGTCCCTTACACTGGTCTTCCCGCATGCATGATTAACACAGTACAGCTGGTACAAAGCCTGCTTCTAGGAGTTTGACTGGTACCAGACGGGGGGTGTGTGTGTGTATGGCAGCTCTAGCTGGAGCTTGTTTATGCTCATTGCTATTCAGAATCTGTGTTTATTTAAAGTTGCTCCTTTTGACCTATAAACTCCTGTGGAATTGAGGTTCAAGTTACCTCTTGGTGGCTGTATCCTATTTTGGGACCTGCCTTTAATTTGCAAATATTGTCATGTATGCTGAAAAAGTATGCCATGACATTGTGAAACTCTGGGAGCAAAATTATCTTTATGGAAAAATTACAACTTGCTAAGCTGCCTTCATAGTCAAGCTCTTTTCATTTGTATCCATTGCATTCTGTTGCTATTACTCATCTGTGACTGCTTGGAGGCTGTGATTTACCCATGGAGATTACAGCTAATCTTAAACCTCTGGAGAATATAAATGCTCTGTACATGCACAAGTTCTGTAGCAGAATTTGTAAGAGACGACATATGCTGTGATGTTAAATTAGATTTATTATCAGGCTATACAGAACCCAAAGTTTGGGGTAGTGGAGGGAGGGCAGTGCATTGATGGGCACATGTGGCACAAGTGAGTTGATGTACCCTATGTGTTTTGAATCCAAAGTAGTTGTGCATGCCCTTTACATGGAAGCAAAAGGACCACTACATCTAACACTGCATGACTATATAAATGACCTCAAAATATGTTTGAGGGAAGTGGAAGTGTATGGTGGCTTGAAACCAAATTTATTTTTATTACAGTTCTCATGAAAATAAACAATATGTGAAATCTTAATTACTTTTATATTCAAAAATTCTGCTGAAGGATGAATAAAACGACTTTAAAATGTTAATTAGTGGTCTAGTACCAGATCTGGTTCTGTTTTAAATAAAATAGTCTGCCTAGCAGAAAGTACTACTATATAAATCCAATATGTGTACCTTTGCTGAAATTATAAAGGTAGTGAAATGTGTAAAGTCGTTAAGGATGGTAAGCTTCTCTCTTCTTTTTCTGAGGTTTTCTGGATTCAATTTGTGGTTCCCAGTTTCTTTTACAGTGATTGCTTTTTAATCAGTGATTAAGTATTCAGAGTTGCTTCCTGAAGTGATTCTTATGTAACGAGCAAATCAACAGAAAAATGATCAACAATTCCCTTGCGTGTCAGCATGTCTCAGCTTTTGCTGGTAGTTCATATTCACCCCATAATGTTGAAATGAGTAAAACAGAAATACTTTCTCGAGTCACATATGTGCTTGTTTATAAGTAAACGGTAAGCAAGCTTTCATGAGAACGACTTATGAGGACTTATTTAATTTACTAATGGAAGTTAATGAAACAAACTTGTGTGTGTGTGTGGAGTCAGTTTCTTTTTAGGTACATCTAGCCAGATGCTTTAGAAATACAGTTGCTTTCAGTTTGAACTTTGTAGTGGGAAACTTGTTGTGAAGACAGCTGCAGCAAGTCATTCCAAGCTCCCCATATCTGTTAGTGGAAAAACTACCGGTAAAATTTATGATAAAATAAGGATACTATACCATAGAGTATAACATATTGTTAACATACCGCACACATTCACATTCATGTTTCTACTCTGTTGTGACTATGTCTAAAATATGTCTGCACAGATAAAAGCACCCATAAATGCATGGCTAATTTATGGTTCTGCACAAATACATCTGCTGGAAAAAAAGCTCCTAATAACTTTTTAATGCAGTCAAACATCAAACTGAAAAAACACCTTTCATTTCTGTCCCACTGTCTGTGGGCAAACTCATTTGCAGGAATTTATTACATCCCTAGCTAAATTATTGGTCTTTATATCTCTCTCTTATATATAAAGTAGTTGGGGTTTTTTTTTCCTCCCCTAGGAATCGTATAGCTCATGCATAAGCTTAAACTGTCATGCATATGTCTTGCTACTTATTATTGAAAGATAGTATTTGGTAATGGTATATTTAAGTGTGTGCGTGCTTTGTATTATATCTGTTTCTTTTGGCCTCTGAGGAAATATATTGAAGTTCTGAAATATATGAACAAAATTCTGCTTCTGTATTGTGTAACTGAAGGTCTGAGTCTCTATTGAGGTAATGGAAAGTTTTTTTAATTGTTTTTGGGTTTTAGCGTTAAAAAAATGTAGTTGACCACAAAAATGCCATCATGCGTGGATTTAATATAAAAGCTTTCTTGGACAGCCATGCCATGTATCGCATGTGAAGTACTGTCCTGCAAATTCATGTGCCTACAGGCACTTTTGACTACTTTGAATGAGAAATAAGATGTCTTAAAATGTCTTTAAAAAAAGGATAAATTGAAGCTTTCTTCTTGCATCCATCAGCATTTTCTGCTAACTAACTGGTATTCATGAAATTCAAGGTGATTGGTAATCCTGAATCTCACTACTTACATTTATAAATTTTTATATTAACATTATCACTTATTCATTGAACACAGAGAAATGTTGGGACCTTCATTTTTAGTTGCTACATTTGTTTCTCCCACTATTCTCCCTGTCTCTCTACTTTTCATATCTGTCATCGCTTTTCCTTGCATCTCATTTGATTTTTTTGCTTGTTTTTAATAAGTATTGTTTCATGGCCCGACTGTAATCAGGTGCTGCTGCTGAAAGACTTCTGTGCCATGTCGTTATGTTTGTAGGTCCTTTGTACCTGCTTGTGCTAGTGGCCATTTGGATATCAATAGAAACCTGCAGAAACTCACTCTTGGTTTTACATAATTGTACTTTTTAGTGCGCCTGCCTTTAGATTTGCTTCACTTAATCTGCTGTTTGCTTTTTGTAATAAAAATGGCTTTAGCTATCTTGAAATGTTTAGATTGCAGGAAAACCAGAACTAACAAATCACTGCTTTTGTGTCCATTCAAATGGCCTTTCATATGTATTAAATATAATTCCAGTAGCTGACCCCCATGCAAGTTTGACCTTTAATGCAAGGTACAGCAGATTTGCATTTGTGTACAGTGTACTTTGTACAGCAGAGTTCACCTAGCTTGTGAGCATCAGAGAGGGGGTTTACTGACTTTTGAGTTTGATGTTTTGATCCAAAAATGACATAGTAAATTTTTAGAATAGAATATTTCTCTTAGAAGGGACCTACAATGATTATGTAGTCCAACTGCCTGGCCAATTCAGGGCTGGCCAAAAGTTAATGTGTTTGCCACAATTAGTTTCTGAAGATGGGATGCAGCTGGTGTTAAGGAATAGGGTGGTGAGTGCACCTGGTGATGTACTGAGAGTGTGTGGTGGAATGAATGTGGCCAAGTGCTAAGTGTGTGTCTGGACTGAGGGATGAAGGTTGTCATGTTTTCATCAAAAAGTGCTTTAAATATTTTTATTACACTGACTTAAATGGAATAAATCTTCTGTGTGAGCATCTTAGAAGGTACTTAGAGCTTCAAAAATACTGTTGTAGAGAAGCTGCTTTAACAAGGAATTGGCTCGCATGCTATCTTGATGCATTGGAAGACCGACTGAAAACAAAGCATGCTGTTTCTCACTTGAGACTTGCCCGCTTTTCCTTTATGTTTTGTGTACTATGAACAGACAGATCACTGTATTCTGTTTTGCAAGAGGATTTTAACTCAGGATTTTTTTCAGTGTTTGTGTGTAATGGAAGATTGCTTGGTGTATCTTCCTTTGTGTTTCTGTGGGACTTCTGCTGCACATGAACTGATAGACAGTGATGGTGCAGTCACTTACAAGCTGTCAACCTGATGGTGTCCTGTCGTTTTAAAGTTAGATACTGGCTCATGGCTTATAGAGAATATTTTCTCTTATTTACTTGGCTCGGTGTACTGATTTTTCTGTTTCAAAGGTAGAGTTGACTTCGAGTACGTTCAGCATTTAGTGGTCCTGCATTTGAATGTTACTAGTATCACGGTGAGTCTGTCTAGTCCCATTTTCTGAAGGCAGCGGTTCTCTTTCTTTAGAAGCATTTTGTACAGGCAACGTTTCTGTCATGTGTAATGGTGGTGAAATCAAAATAGTAAATTAGTTTTACTTAGATTACATTTCAGTCTTTTCTTTATACAAGTGTCTAATACCAGATTCAATTTCATGGTGAGATACAAGTTTATATTTACATCTTGTTGGAACATGATGGGGTGGGTTTTTTTGGATTTTGGGTGGGGTTTTATGTGACATTTAAAATTGTTAGCTGTTCACCAGAATATGTTTCACTGAAGAAATGAATATTCATTTTTCAGAGGCAGATTTCCTCAAAAAGATTTAGAAGCACTGTTTCCGGGGATGAGTGCTGATTTCACTAGTGAAAACTTCTCTGCTGCCTGGTACCTGATTGAGAATCATTCAACAACAAGGTTTGTTGCTATCATTTAACTTTAAACGCAAGTCACTTGATGCTATTTCATTATACAATAGAGGTGTCATTGGTGGTTGACAGAATAATAAACCTGTACTCTCTACTGCCTGTGGTGTTTCTGCTTGGCTAGAAACTTGAATCAACAAGTTTGCTCAATGTGGTTATGAGGAAAACTTCATTTTTAACCAGACCTATTTTATGGCCTCTTCCCCTCCCCCCAGTGTCAGATGGAAGTTGCCTTGCTTCAGGCTAAAGCCCTTCATGAATCAAGAAGTTAGGCAGCATGGCCTTGAGTGGAAACTCCAGGTGTTAAATTAACTTAAGTCATGACTAGAGGCTCAGGATAAGGGCACTGAACAGACTACGAGTAAAACTGTCGGTAGTACTAGTTAACTTTTAGTTAACTCTTGTGGAAAATGCTAAGGTAAAAGAAGTTGGCTGAGTGAGTAATATCTATGCAGTAAATATCTGTCGTGGGTTGACCCTGGCTGGATGCCAGGTGCCCACCAAAGCTGCTCTGTCATTCCCTTCTTCAACAAGACAGGGGAGAGAAAAACATATCGACAGGCTTGTGGGTCAAGATAAGGGCAGGGAGAGATCATTCGCCAGTTACTGGCATGGTTAAAACAGACTCAACTTGGTGAAATTAGTTTAATTTATTACCAATCAAATCAGAGTAGGAGAGAACAAAAAAAAACCAAACAACTGAATGTTAAAACACCTTTCCGCCCACTGTCTTCTTCCCAGGCTTAACTTTACTCCCAAATTCTTTACCTCCTCCCTGCTGGAGCAGTGCAGGGGGACAGGGAATGGGGGTTGGGGTCAGTTCATCACACGTTGTCTCTGCCACTCCTTCCTCTTCAGGGGGAGGACTCTGCACACTCTGCCCCTGCTCCAGTGTGGGGTTTTAGGAGTTCCAGAAATAACCATTTATCTGCTTGTGAAATACGTTAATTTCCTCTCAAAGTGATGGTAGATTGAAGAGCCAAAATAACAGCAAGTGAACATTATTACCTAATACATACATAATGACAACATCTTTTGAAATCAAGTAGCTGAAAGAGGAGTGATTCAAAATTAATTTTATCTATCACAGTCTGACAACTTTGGGGATAATCAGGTTTTTAAAAAAAACTGAGGGGATAATAAAGTGAGAAAGAACAAACAGCTTTTGATGTGGCTGTTTTTAAGATGGTCGCTCTTACGGAGCAGGTAGCAGGATGGTTGAGAGCTTGTTCAAGAGGCTGGAAAGGGTGACATTGCAGTGGGATGAGGAAGTGAACAAAATCTTCCTTAAGCAGCTTGAGGAAGTCTCCAGGAGCAGACCCTGGTTCCTGTACAAGACTTTAACCTCCCTGGTATTTACAGGATGGGCAACAATCCAGGAGGCTTGTGGAAAGTTCTGGGAATTACTTCTAACCTATCTGCTAGGTGGGCAGTCAGGGGTGCTGCTTTCCTAAATCGGATTCTTGCAGGCAAGGCAGGGGATGTGATAACCAGTGGCAGCCTTGGCTGTAGCAACTGTGAAATAGTTGAGTGCAAAGCTCTAAGGAATGTGAGGAAGGCAAGTAGCAGAGTACACACCTGAGGCTGGCAACAGTAGTACAGAAGACAATCTGGTGTTTGTAACATGCCATAAATACCAGTTGACTGTCTAGTACAAATAATCTTCTGGGGTGTATCAGCAAGACTGCGTTAGGTATAGCATGGGGGTAATTATTCTGCTCGCCATTATTAAAGCTGCTGAAATGCTCTGCCCAGTTTTGGCCACTGCTTTAAGAAAGATATGAGAGCTGAGCCACAAAAATAGGAGTATATAAATATCTGTTGGTATACAGCTTGAATGAATTAAGTGCTTTTAGAAAAGAAACTAATACAGAATGCGTGTTCTGAAATACATAGTGGGCAGTTCAAGGGTAGCCATCAATTCTTCTTGGTTTACCAAGAATACAACAAGATGTCTCAGTTTGCAATGAGGGAGATTTAGGTTAGATGCAAATTAAAAACAATATTAGGTTGCTTAAGCCCTGGTACAGTGTAACTTGGAAAGCTGCAGAATCAGCATCCCTGGTGAGTGCTGAGATTTGATTTGACAGCTATCTGTCATAGATGGCTTAGGTACACTTAAGGATGCTGTGGATCCAGAAAATGAATTAAATAACTTCTTAGAACTGGTAAAATGACTCTATCAGATTACTGTGGACTATGAGCAACGGCATAATGTAATGGCTATCTCTCTAATATGATAAGGTATCAATAAACCCACTGATTTTTCTGGTCATCGGTACTATGAATTGGTGACTTAAATAATTACACTAGCTTGTATGGCTCCTTTTTAACTTGCATCATGCCAGTGAGTCAGTACCTGAAATCCCATTTTCATGTAAATGTGAAGCTTCCTATTAAGAAAAAAAAACATTTTTACACTTCGTCTAGTATCAGCTTAAGTTTTTCATCTTTCTTGGGGGGAAAAAAACCCTTCCATCAATTTGTATCTTTGCATGTCAAGAGTTTCAAGTCATGGTCACCTCAGTCCAGTGGAATAAAAAGTATTAATTTTTTTTAAAATGAAAGCTGGTCATTTTGCATATTCATTGGCTTATAACGTCTAAATCTTAGCATTGAAGGTGCAAAAGCTGTGTAAAACTCAACAGGAAGAATGGCTCAGAGGGTAGGATGATTCCAGTCATGTTTTGAATCTAATTATAAATAGCTTTTTAAGTGAAGAAGCAGCAGAGTTGTTTAGCTTTCTTTTTTCTTCCCACTTCAAAATGTATAGTCTTGGAAATATTCTGAAATTGTATAATTATCTGCCCCATATAATTTGTACTGTTTTTCCGGAAACACACAGCAATGGCTCGGTTCTTGTCCTCTAGGTAACCTCAGGTATTGCGAATGCTAAATGTGTGGTGCACTAATGTTTTGGTTAGCTTGTGTCTGTTTTTTTCCATGAAGGAAATTCTTTTTAAGCAATCAGAATAACTATTTTTTTTTTTTTTTTTTACCCTGGCAATATCCTGACAAATATAAATAAAACTATTTAGACATACTATTAGATCATCAGATAACATGAAACAGTGCTTAAAAAGAAAACCGTACAAATTCTTATTGGTTTGAAAATGCTGTTGGTAAGTAATTCTTGTATGCCCAAGTAGACCAATCCAGCTATTGAGTAATGTGACTTCTGTCCAGCAGATGGAAACAAGAAATAAAGCAAAATGTTGACATCAGTATAAAAAGGAAAATACCTGTAAGTGCACCAGTGTGTTTTGTCTCCGAGCAGGTGGTGATAGCATTCTCACTGCCTGGGTTAAAGTTTGGTTTGTTCTCTTAATATGCCTTTTCCTACCACTGTTTAAAACGGGCAAAGAGTATTGGTGGAATTGCCTTATGTCTTAATTTCCTTGCTTTGTTGTTTCCCTCTTCTCAGGGAGGCAGGTTTTTTTTGTTTAATTCTTTTGTGTTAGGGAGATGGGTTTGGCCTGCAGGTAGGAGAAAAGACTTTAAGGATGAAAATCATGTGTCATATTTGTTTTTATAAGCTTGCTTGTGCTAGCGCTTTTATAATGAATCCAGTAGCATAACTATTAAAATCATATTCATCATCACTAAAAAAAAAAATGGTATGCAAGTAGTGAAGAATTAGTCACGACATAAGGCTTCTAAAATAATTGCTGCTGCTTACAAAAAATAAAAATGTGAAATCAAATATAAACTGGCAATGATCTAGAAATATTAGGAAGCTAAGATAAAAACTGACCTCCCATACAAACAACAGTAATGAGCTGGCGATTAATATTCCCCTGTGAAGTCACTTTCAAAACCAATTCAGTAAACTGCATATAAAAAATGTATCTTTCGTAAAGCAGGAATCTGTTCAGCTTTGCTTTAGTTTTGCACTAATATGTGTTCAATTCTGAACTGTATGTCCAAACCAACATAAAAATATTGAAGGAATTTGGAAACTCAAAGTGAAAAAGGGTTGTGAACTAATCTGTAGAGTTAAATAAATGTCATTAATAGACTTCTAACATCCCAGTATTTAATCATTTGTACCAAGTGTAGTGAATTGTACTATCACCTATTTAATGTACTACAGATAGGTAACTAAGAGCAATATTACATATGTAGAAGAAATTTCCTGACTAATTTGTATTATAAAGAAGTCTATTCCATCACAAGTGATAGGAGCCCTCTATTTAGGATTAAAACTAAAAACCAAAACCTCTTTGAACTAAGAGTAAATTGTCATTATTGAGAAGCACACTTGTTAGGAATTACTCAGTCCTTAATATTTGTTGCAAAGTAGCTGGCTTTATTTTCTAAGTAGTTTGTTCTGTTTATTCATTAGCTGACCTTATGTGTTGTTTGAATGTCACAGCGGTTTTCTTGTTGTTTTTTTCAGTTTTGATCAGCTCAAAACGGCTGTTGTGAATTTGAAGAAACAAGCCAACAAGAAAAATGAGGGCAGTCTAGCATATGTGAAAGGAGGTCTCAGCACATTTTTTGAAGCACAAGATGCTCTGTCAGGTAAAGGTGCTTTGCACTTACTAAATATAGTATAAAAGAGAAGACAATATCTGCACGTGTAGTTGAATTTAATATTAAAAAATACTGTTTTTCTTCACAGTCTTTTCTAAAAGTGTCTAATGAGCCAAAAATCTGTATTGTTAGTTACAGTTTGGGACTGGCTAGCTGATTGTTGGGGTATATTTGCAAAAGATAGCACTAGTGTATGTTACAGGAATTGGAGACATTTGATGTAACTGCTTAGACCACAAATCCAGAAAAGAGAGGAAATGTTAAACTCGATGGATATGGATAAAAAGTAGTGCTGGCAGACATATAGGTTATCTTGTAAGATTGTTTTTCAGGCCAGCAAAGACTTGGTAGGATTTATGGAAAGCTAGTGAGAACCATAAATGTTGTGAGGTTTTAGAAAGACTGTAAAAA